TCAAACATTTTATGGCTTACTATTTAGTTATCTCACCATTACCCATGTAACATCGTATGTACATCGTAAATTCCCAGTGTCTTTCTTGCTGTACGTTGCAACCAAAAAAACGTGTCAAATAAACCAAATCATTACTGTAAACAGTTCTATGAGTACTCCTGTCTCCGAGTCTTTTAGTTCACAAAAAAAGTAACTCTTGCACACCTTGCGTGCCTATGTTTAAAAGTAGATATCGCATAAAATATCACAAAAGGATTCAATGGGTAGCAGATAAGTAAGCACAAAATTAATGATTATAACGTTTCTTTCTGTAAACTGTTTACCATTTTGTTTTCTTTTGTCCACGTACCACTGAAAGAAAAAGACTTTTCATTCCCACATTGAAGACATGGCCAGTAAACACACCTGGTAGTCTCTTTCAAAGCTTTCAGCGTCTTCACTTAATTCCTTGAAATCTGGGCTCAGAACTTTTCTCTCTTTCATCCCTTTTAGTGCAGAGTGCACTATTGGGATGGTTTAGGTGGCTGCTGTTCGGTCAGGCACTAACACTACAACACAATAGGGTGCAAACTTTAAGGGCCCATTAACCGATTGATGGGCGTGCTCGTGTGTGCGTTGCTAAGGAGGTGAAATTTCACTTCCAGTTACTCACGTCAGCCTGAGCGTGGAAAATAAAAACAACTCAATAACTGGCAAATTCGCCTACAGTTTAGATGTTTTTCTTTGTGTTTTACAAAATGCAAAGCAAAAGAAGTACAAGCAAACACAACATAAGAGAAGGACAAAAAAAAAGAGCAATAGAAAGAGGAAAAGAAACTCCGTGTACCTTTGTTTGATCTGACCAAAGCACGCTGGGGGTGTAAATTGCGCGCGCACTGAGAGGGTAAGTTCCAATATATATATCGGGTGCACTTCCGGTTTCTTTAAATGCTAAAGGAAATGCAGTTTTTCATTAAATCCAGCCTTTTTCGACAAATTTTGATTTAAGCCAACGGTGGAAACAAAGCTATGCATTCCTTTCTGGAAATCATGCTTTTTTCAGAAAATTACGAACTTTTCAATATTTTGAAATTCTCTCAAAATCTGACCTTTTAGAAATGAAACAAAATCTATGCATAGGGTAATGAGGATTTAAATAAAAATATTAAATGAATGAAAAAAATCTTGATAAAGTAATTTGCCTAGGAACCTTTGCATTTTTCTGTATTGGTCACATGACCATGGGCGTGGCCTGATAACATCATCACTGGTGTTACTGATCATGAAAAAGTTAAAACACATGAAATAGCTCTGAACTAACTAAAAATGATAAGGTTATATGAGAATAAATTTTCCTTAGCAACGGCTTGAAAAGATTAGTTAATGGGCCCTTAATGTTTGTTTAATTAATTAATTTCGATTAATTAATTTGCATTGTGGTAAGGGAGTGGGGTAGGTACCTCTGTTTACTACGTAAAACATATTATGCTTACCTTACTTTTACGATAACATCACAAACCTATATATGTTTTTGCAAATCTCTTGCTATCCTAGTGGTGCTATTCTCTTGAGAACAAAATCAATTTGCTCGAAACACATGCGCAGATAACTTAGCCTTCAGTGTCCAGTTCTGGCCCTCTCTCTGTCACGCAACGCTACCGTTGCGTTACTTGATGGAGAGAGGGCCAGAACTGGACTATTTTGACCG